CATTTTGGTCTTTTCTTCCTCTTCTGTCTTTGTAATGACCGTTTACACTCTTCCTGAATGATATCTTTGACATCCTCCCACAACTCATCTGGTCTTCGTTCATTGGTGTTCAAGGCCTCAAACCTGTTCTTGAGATGATTCTGAAATTCAGGTGGTATGAAATCAAAGTCATTAGGAGTTGGAATTGACTCAAAAATCATAGATTGCTTTTGTAGGAAGAGTGTTTTTTTAAACCACTGCAGTGGTTTTCAAAGTGACTTTTTTTGTTTTTCTTTTGTTCTCTGGTAACTATTTATGCTTCCCCCCCCCCCCGATTCTTGATTGTTATTTGACTCTGGGGTTACTCACTTGGAAATTTATGGATAGGAGAAAGTTTGCCATATGTATGACTAAGCCATTGTACAAGAACCTAATTTCCAAGGCTAAAGAGAGAAATTTGTCTCTTACAAAGAAATCAACTTTCAAGGGAATAATAGCTGCCTTTAAGAAATGACTCTCTCTCCAACTCTTTGGTTACAAAGGGAAATCAGAATTTTGACTTTATGTGGGATTGTAAACAGGTTCTTTCTTTTTGTACCTAATTTGTTTCATAAGTGACAAATAATATGACAATTAATGACAATACTTTTAATTAGAATATGATAACAACTTTAATTATAGATTTGTTTGTTGCTAATCCTAATAGAAATATGTGATGATAAATCAGGTCAAGTTTGGACAATGAATTTAAGTCACAATGAAGTTGGCTCTCTATATCTGTATAGATTCAGCCATCATGTTGTTGTTGCTATGTGCCGTCGAGTCACTTGCAACTCAGTAGCCATCATAGATGGAAATATTTGAGGGGGGGCAAGAACAATTAAGTAGTCAAAGCAATCTTACAATAACAGTATTTATATTGTGTTAGGTGTTCTAAGTAAGATAGGGGATTCTGGTGGTCTAGTGGTCAGAAGCTGTGCTGCCAGCCTAAGGGTTTGCAATTGAATTTATTGGCTGCTCTGTGGAAGAAAAAAGGCCTTCTCCTCCCACGTGATTCACTGCATCTGAAAACTTGCTGGAGGGTCAGCTATGAGTTGGTTCTCACTTGACTGCACATAACAACAATAACAGATTATATCAAGAGGATGTAAATGAATTATATGCAAATATGCCATTTTTTTATAAGCAACTTCCCACCTGTGAATTTCAATATCCTCAGATGTCCTAGAACCAATTCCCCAGATATTTTGGGTGCCAAGGGATTAGCGTATGCTGCATTTAACAAATAAACTACTTGTGTGAAAAATACTTTATTGCACACAGTGTTGAGTTTTATCCTTAACCCTGATGTGGTAAGTTGAGCAGCTGAGTGAAATGTAGCTGAACTTTCTTTTTCATTTTCTTCTTGAATATTTTTCCTTTCAGCTTTTAGGCAGAGTGAATTTTATTTCATTCTTTAAAAACCAATTCTCCCTGAATTCTGACATCCTATCTTTAGTGTCTACCCCATCTGCTTTCTTCTTCCTCTTTAAAATATCAGCAAAGTAACCTATTCTTGCTTTACCACTTTCCCTTTCCTGTCACCCATTGACTCTCTGGGCTTGATTTGTTTCTCTCCTTGCCATTAATCTGAAACTGTTCTTAGTCATGAATTTATGCTTAGCATCCTTCTTCACTTTTCTGCAGCAATTGATCTTGTTGCCCACTCTACATCTGAAATCTCTTCCTTTATGATGACTGTAATGCAATCCTCTTCTACTTTCTCTTTACCCTTTCTGATAATTATTTTGCTGCAGTTTCTTTTACCATCTCTATTTTCTCCCTTTCTGTTTTACTGACTCAAGCATTTTCGTTTCATTCTTCTTCAATTTCTGGATTGCCTTTCTGCAGAAATTCACCTCTAGGTGATTTACTTCAGAATACTTCTGACTATGTTTTTTTCCCTTTAGAAATTCAGTCCTTATATGTGTTCTTTATGTGGCCTACAAAATGTATTGTAGATCCTGCCCATTATCACCCCTGAAATACATATGGAAATCAGTAACACACCCTTCACTTCTTTAACTGCGGTCTATTTTACCTTCTGTATTTCCAATTCATTATCCTTACAAGACTACACGTTTTACCTCACCACCTATGTTGTCCCCATAATCTACCAGTTTAAACTTCTCGAAAAGTTTTTCCGTTTGTCCACTTTTCTTTAAACTGTTGCTGTCACCTAAAGTTGTGCCTTCATTTTGTCTTCCCAGTATAATTGCCCTATCTTTTTTTAACATGTCCACGATCCTAATTAGTATTAATAATGGCAATATTTACGCCCATTTCTTCCTGACATTTTGTTTTTTTACTAATATAATTACTGCACTACCTATTCTGAATAAATGAAAATGTCAGTACTAAAGACATACAACAGTAATTCACTGTTCATTTTGGAATTTTCATTATCTCTCCATAAAAAAAGTTAACATTATTTAAAAGTATGGTTTATCATGTTAACCTAATTTTGTATATAAAATGCATATTGACTTTGAAGGATTCAGATTCATTTAATCATCAATATTTACAATAAAATTCTCCCAAATGAGGCAGTGGTTAAGTACTAGGCTGTTACCTGAAAGACCACCATTTTGAACCTAGTATCCATTTCACCAAAGAAAGATAGCTGTATCTGCTTCCATAAAGAAATATAGCCTTGGAAGTCCTCTAGACCATTTTATCCTGTGCTATAGGGTCATTATATGGGAACTCTGGTAACCTAGTGGCAAGAAGCTGTACTACAATCCTGAAGGTACGCAGTTTGAGGCCAGCAGTGCTCCCTCCACAGGAGGATGGACAATTTCATCCTGTGTAATTAACTGCCTCTGAAAACCTGCCAGAGGGTCAGCAGTGGATCACTTCTGCCTTGCTGGTGCAAAACATAGGGTCACTAAGTGTTGAAATTGAGGATAGTAATGAATATATATATATATATATATATATAAAGGCTAACCACCTCGCCCATAATATCAGGCACAGAAAAAGCAAAGTGAAAATACTAGCATGAGTTAAATAATTGGCCCAAATAAACTCATAGCTTCATGGAAAAAGTGGGCATACAAATAAATGCAATCTTATATAGATGGTATACAGAGATATATTAAAAGGTATTAAGACTCTTAAGGAGGGCATAACTTATGATAGTTGAAAGACATCACAGAGAAAGTATCATAGAAAGCTAGATTTTTAAATGAAGAGTAGGGCTCATCTGACAAATAATTGGGGGAATTAGTTTAAGAAGAAACTGCCACCACAAAAAGGAATGGAGAGACTGAGGGGAGGGGACGATAGTGTTGGATTTTATCCTATATGCATGGGAAACCACTGGATGTGTGGGCAGGTGATTCACCAAAGCATGTTTTTAATTACTCTAAACATTTCTAAGGTTGGTCAGAGAGCCAAGAGATGGAGCCAAGGGGGTATATTAGGCAACTAGTCCAAAAATCTAGGTAAGAGATAGAGACAGTGAGAATTCAGACTAAGTTGTTCACTTTGCAAAGAGGTATGAAGAGAGAAAACAAGATTTAAGTAAAGCTGTCCTGAGCCATCATCCAGTCCCTACAGATACACAATATTTATTTATATCTGTATTTTACTTTTTGTTTCTGCTGCAGACATGGGATGTAGAGTTGGAAAGGTCTGCAGAATCTTGGGCTGAAACTTGCCTGTGGGAACATGGACCCGCGAGCTTGCTGCCATCAATTGGACAGAATTTAGGAGCACATTGGGGAAGGTAGCTTAATCTGTAACTTTTTGCTTTTAAAAACATATTCCAGTGGAAAATAGGTTGTAATTCATCTTTGAAGATTACCAAAGGTTGGTATCTAAAAGGAAGATAATATAAGAAACAACAGAAAATTATATTAGAATGATCACTGAGCTGGTTTTTAGATGTACTTTTATTTTCAAATCGTAGCTATGAAATTAGTAAAGTAATTGACATAAATACTTAAAATAATTTCCATTAAAAATTATCTTAACTGAATTTGATTCATTTATTTCATTAGATTTAGTTTTCAATTTTTCCAATTTAAGATTACTTTCTTTGGAATAGGTACAGGCCCCCAACGTTTCATGTACAAGCCTGGTATGATGAAGTGAGAGATTTCAGCTACCCATATGAACATGAATGCAATCCATATTGTCCGTTCAGATGTTCTGGTCCTGTCTGTACCCATTATACACAGGTATGTATTACATATCTTACAGGAAAACTTAGGCTACTGAACATGTCTCTCTTAAATTAATTCATTTGATAATTAAAAAGGAAAAATGATTCATGAAGTTATTACTAGACTTTTATTTCTAGAAAGTATTAAAAAAGAATTCCAAGTATGCATTTAAAAAGGTATTGTTTTCATGATTTTACATATAAAGCATTTTTAATATAGCCTTAATAAATATGAAATCTTACCACCTTTAAAGCCAAGAGTATTTTTTTTAAATTTATAAGGGAATAAAAGTGCGATTTTATTTACCCATGGCATTCAGTATTTACACTTTTCATATTGAATATTTATATTTTATATTGTATACATTCTAATCATCTCCATCAGACAGTTGAAGGTAGATTTAACAAGATAAGTTCTCCACTCTGAATGTCTTTAATTTATGTTACTGATAATCAGGGAATATAATAGATAGATTGCTCTGTATGTCTTTGTGCATGAAAAAATAAATCAACTTTATAACACGACATGCAGTATTTGTCCTTTTTTGACTGAGATATTTCATTCAGCATAATGTCCTCCAGGGTCACCCATTTTGTATAATATTTTGTGAGTTCTTGTCCCTTTGTTACTTCATAATATTTCATTGTTACTGTTTTTCAATTTATTACATAAAAAAAAATTCACAACATAAAAAAAAACCAAACTTTAGTATTGAACTACCTACTAGCTAATGAGGGAGCTTTGGTGGCCTACTGGCAAGAAGCTGTGGTATAGTCCCAAAGCCACACAGTTCAAGGCCACCAGCTGTTCCATAGAAGAAGAATAGGGAGTCTCCTCCCATACAAATAACTGTCTCTGGAAACACACTGGAGCGTCAGCTATGAATTGTTTCTGACTCCATGGTACACAACAACATCAATTAACTAATGACACAGTGCACAGGAAATTTGAATTTCTAGATTTGGTGGAGGGAAAGGAATCAAATAGTTTCAGATTTAATAAAACCCAGACTTGGGATAGGAAGCTCTGGTAGCCTAGTGATAAGAAGCCGTGCTACAATCCCATAATCCACCAGCTTCTCCATGGAGAAGGATGGACAGTCTCCTTCTGTGTATTAACTGGCTCTAAAAATGTGTTGGAGAGTCAGCTGTGGATCGATTCCAACTCAAGGCATACAATAACAACAAACTTAATACATGAAGCCCTGGTAGGAGTTGTGTTGCCAATTCAAAGGTGTCACCTCTCTAGTGGTTCCAATCCACTTGTGGCTCCAGGGAGATAGAGGAGCTCTCTCCTACTGTGCAATTAACTGTTTCTGAAAACCCACTGGAGGGTTTTCAGGTATGAGTTGGTTTCAACTTACCATCAATGAGAGCTTTTGGTTTGGCAAATTCCTGCATAGAAAATGTTAATACTGCTCTTGAGTTTGGGAAGGTGTTAGTTCTGAATTTATTTGATAAAGCCATAGTTTGAAAGTGCTGCTTTTTATAGCCATTTGAGTTATTTTACTACGGCTCTTTTCTGGAATTGAATTAAGTACTCCTCAGAGTCTCAGGACACATTTTTTTCTTATTGTCTCTTTTCCCTTTGAATGATAAGTGATTGCTTCTCAAGTCCACTCAGATATGTTTCTGGTTTGGTTTTTTATTTATTTATTTATTTTTAAATTATTATGTCTTGTACTTTCTGAGTCTTTCTTCTCTCTAATGTAGGTGGTGTGGGCAACAAGTAGCAGAATAGGCTGTGCCATTAATTTGTGCCACAACATGAACATCTGGGGGCAAATATGGCCCAAGGCTGTCTACTTGGTGTGCAATTATTCTCCTAAGTGAGTAGACACAATCCTGCTTTTTAATCTACCTTGTTTTTATAAGAAGAAAAGAACTCTAAAATTCTGTTTTTTCTTCTTTTTGTGGTCCTATATTATTGATCAAAATATATTGCTTTCATTGAGTGTTAATGTTAATGTTAATGTTAATGTTATTGTGTTAGGTTAATAATGGTCACTTGCCTAATGCCTAAAAATCAATGCTTGCAGGGAATATGAAAATGAAAATATGATCACTGTGGAGACAAAACTCAGATAATTTATACCATTGACTTTACTTACTGCACTTTTTCCTTAAAGATGTAATTTTTTTGGTTTTAAAGGGATTGATAATTATAGATTGTTGTTGTTGTTAAGTGTCGTCGAGTCGCAAGTGACTCATAGCGACCCTATGAAGGAGAGTCCTCGATGCTTGGGTGCCTTTCATCCTCTCTCCGGGTTCAATTAAGAAATATAGTTTTACCTCTTTAAAATCCACTTGAAAGATGATAGTGAAAATTCAGACAGATGCATTTTGGGTAAAATTTAATTCTAAAATCTACTTTTATCGAAACATGAAAAATAAATTAGTGTGATATTGCAAAGTTTGATGATCTGGAAAGATCCAACTTGTCATTTTTAGCACTATACATAATGGATTATATATTTTGAAAGAATGAGGCAGTAATCTGTGTTTAAACCTGGTAAGCAAGAATAAGTGTTTACTACAAGATATAAATGTCTTATGTACATACCTAAATAATTTGGAAAATCCTCCTATGCTAATCTTTTGCAACATTTTATGAATTATGCTATTAGATTAGTTTTTAACTGAATGGATCATCTCTTTAAGGGGAAACTGGTGGGGCCATGCTCCCTACAAACATGGACGACCCTGCTCTGCTTGCCCACCTAGTTTTGGAGGAGGCTGCAGGGAAAATCTGTGCTACAAAGGTATGTGGCGCTGTGCTAGTAATATTCAATTTGTCTTCACCTAGATTTGTTTGAGAACTAGGTGGGTGGCAGGTGGGGAGTAGAGACGCCATAGCTTGCAGAACCAAGAGCTTTGTAACATTGGTCTAAGGCTGAACACCAAGGTGCCTGTGAGCATGTTTTGGAAGCTGTCCTAACTTGAGTTATTATATACTGCTGTCAACAAACACCGTAATTGGTAAAAAAAATAAAAAGAAACACTGAGAAGTTACCCACCCAACCAAAAAGAAAATCAATTTGTGCAATATTTAAATCCAACTTCTGCACTACCTTGTGTTTATAAAGATCCAAATATACCTTTCATTATTACATGAAAATTTTACGGAACACTACTTCTGTAAACTATTTTAAATATATATTAAATAATACAACAATATTTATATATTAAGCCCATTAGCTCATTCAATAGCTAATTGTGATATTCTGAGGATGGCGCAGGATAGGACTGTGCTCAGATTGCTTATTCATAGGGTGGCTAGGAAATGTACTGCACTTGATGGTGCCTAACAACAACAATAGCTAATTTAAAGGTGATGACTCTCCAACATTTGAAACCACCAGTTACTTTACTTGTTGTTATGTACCTTCAAGTTGGAACTGACCATAACTGACCCTCTAGTGAGTTTACAGAGACATTAACTCTCAAGAGAGGAGATTGCCCATCTTTCTCCCACAGAGCAGCTTGTGTGACTTGACAGCAATGATTGAGTTTGACTGGACTAATATGTCTCAATAGGTTCTCATAGGTCCGCCCTCTGCATATAACTACTAATTCTTTTTTAGATTTATTATAGACTAACAAGTATATTTGTAGTCTTAAAAGCCATGCTCAAATATCATTTAGTAGAGTTATTTCATTAACTATTGTCATCATTTTTTAGGTTTTAACAAGTTAACCTAGTTTATTTTGAGTACTTAAAAAGGTTTTAACAAAATCTTTATCAATGAATTCTACTGAAATTTTACTTTTCAGCATGGAACCTACAATATCTCAGTGAAATAATGAAAAGAAAGGAGAAAAGTACTGTAAAACTTTTGTGAACATAGTGCTCTTCTTTGGCTTCCCTTTGAGTGTTTTGGTTTTGTTTTTTTACTCCCTTGTACATTTTTCTTATGATGACTAAATGAAGATTAATACAGAACAAATGTGGCGGAAAATACTTTAATCAATGCAGCTTTCTTTCAGTGCTCATAAAGAAAAGTGATTTTATTTTTCCCCCCTCTTAATGACTGAGCACTCATTAGCTATAATGAGCAAACAAAAAGCAGCCATGTATCTCACTGTATTGTAGTAGCCATTTAAAAATTCTTGGAAACATTTGAAGCTTTTTTTTAAAATTGAGTGAATACCTATGTGTTTTTCTTCTCTTTACTCCAAATCTGTCCTGTACCATCCACACAATCTCCATGCAGGACAGGGCAGAGTTCTGATCTGGTCAACATGATGGACCTAACAGTCACACTGTAAACCTACTTTACCTGGCTGTCCACTAGCTATTGTTAGTTGCTGTGAGTCAGCTCCAACTCATGCCAACCTTATGTAGAATAGAAATTTTTTTTTTTTCTCAGAAGAGGAAATTACTACTTCTATTTTTTTTTCTTTTTTTTTT